AGTGCCCCCCCTTGCCCCCCCCCCTGCGGACGCCCATGTTCTGTTAGTCTCTTTCCAAGACTGTAGCACCTCTGTGTGTCTCTTTTCCCACAGCGCCTCTGTGTGTCTCATTCTCCCCTTCCCCAGCCCTTCTGTGAGTCATTCTTCCCTTTCCCAGCCCCTCTGTGTGTCTCCTGTTCCCCTTTCCCAGCCCCTCTGTCTCTTTCTCCCCAGACCCCTCCGTGTTTTTTTTCTCCCCAGCCTCTCCATGTGACTCATTCCACCCCTTCCTGCCTTACATGTTTATCATTACCCCTGCCACCCCTTCATGCTTCTAAATCAACCCCCCAGACATTTATGTTTCTCAATCCATCCCCCCAGCCCTCTGTGTCTCAATTCATTCCCCCAGCCCTCCATGTGTCTCATTACCCCCCAGACCTCCATGTGCCTTATTATCTCCCTCAGTCCCTCCATAGGTCCCTATAGCCCCTCCTAGCCCTTCATGCATTCCTATATCCCCCTCCAAGCCCTTTATGTATCCCTATACCCCTTCATGTGTCCCTGTTATCCCTACCAGTGCTTCATGTGTCCCTATAGCCCCCCAGCCCCATGTGTCCCGTTAGTTCTCCCCAAGCCCTCATGTGTCCCATTAGATTCCCTCCCAGCCCCCAGGTGTCCCATTAGTTCCCCCCAGCCCCCATGTGTCTCATTAGTTTCCCCCAGTCCCCATGTGTCCCATTAGTCCCCTCTAAGCCCCCATTTTTCCCCATTAGTCACCCCCCAGACCCCATGTGTCCCATTAGCTCCCCCCCCAGCTCTCCCTGTACCTTGCTGTAATGTGGCCGAGCAGGCAGACCGCGGGTAGAGGAGCTTCTGTTCCCCTACCCGGTCTGGCAGGAAGCAGTTCTGTGCTCTCTGTGAGCACCTCCTGTCAGACCAGGTAGGGGAACAGAAGCTCCTCTACCCGTGGTCTGCCTGCTCGGCCATGCTACATTCTGTGACCGGCAGGAGGGGAGCGCATGCCCTCCTACCGGATACTTTGTAATTTGCCGTGCGGCCCGTGGGCCGGTGCGCACAAGGTGGACGCCCACCGGCCGGATAGTGTGCCAGCCCGCAGGGAAACTTCTCAGTATCCCGGTGGATCAGTCTGGCCCTGATTACTCTCCAACCCAGTCCTTAAGAACAGGCTGAAAAATCCAGGGGGGGGGCAAGTGCCCCCCCTTGCCCCCGCCCTGCGGACGCCCATGTTCTGTTAGTCTCTTTCCAAGACTGTAGCACCTCTGTGTGTCTCTTTTCCCACAGCGCCTCTGTGTGTCTTATTCTCCCCTTCCCCAGCCCTTCTGTGAGTCATTCTTCCCTTTCCCAGCCCCTCTGTGTGTCTCCTGTTCCCCTTTCCCAGCCCCTCTGTCTCTTTCTCCCCAGATCCCTCCGTGTTTTTTTTCTCCCCAGCCTCTCCATGTGTCTCATTCCACCCCTTCCTGCCTTACATGTTTATCATTACCCCTGCCACCCCTTCATGCTTCTTAATCAACCCCCCAGACATTTATGTTTCTCAATCCATCCCCCCAGCCCTCTGTGTCTCAATTCATTCCCCCAGCCCTCCATGTGTCTCATTACCCCCCAGACCTCCATGTGCCTTATTATCTCCCTCAGTCCCTCCATAGGTCCATATAGCCCCTCCTAGCCCTTCATGCATTCCTATATCCCCCTCCAAGCCCTTCATGTATCCCTATACCCCTTCATGTGTCCCTGTTATCCCTACCAGTGCTTCATGTGTCCCTATAGCCCCCCAGCCCCATGTGTCCCGTTAGTTCTCCCCAAGCCCTCATGTGTCCCATTAGATTCCCTCCCAGCCCCCAGGTGTCCCATTAGTTCCCCCCAGCCCCCATGTGTCTCATTAGTTTCCCCCAGTCCCCATGTGTCCCATTAGTCCCCTCTAAGCCCCCATTTTTCCCCATTAGTCACCCCCCAAACCCCATGTGTCCCATTAGCTCCCCCCCCCAGCTCTCCCTGTACCTTGCTGTAATGTGGCCGAGCAGGCAGACCGCGGGTAGAGGAGCTTCTGTTCCCCTACCCGGTCTGGCAGGAAGCAGTTCTGTGCTCTCTGTGAGCACCTCCTGTCAGACCAGGTAGGGGAACAGAAGCTCCTCTACCCGTGGTCTGCCTGCTCGGCCATGCTACATTCTGTGACCGGCAGGAGGGGAGCGCATGCCCTCCTACCGGATACTTTGTAATTTGCCGTGCGGCCCGTGGGCCGGTGCACACAAGGTGGACGCCCACCGGCCTGATAGTGTGCCAGCCCGCAGGGAAACTTCTCAGTATCCCGTGGATCAGTCTGGCCCTGATTACTCTCCAACCCAGTCCTTAAGGACCACCAACAGTCCAGGATGACTGGGTTGGAAACCACTGGATTAAGGTACACTGTCCCTAGCACTTACTAAATAATCTTTATTGCTTGTATTGTTTCTCTTCAACAATGGAGTATGCAATCTTATCTTGGTACCACCAATCTCTCCTAGTACTATGGTTCTCTAATGATAAGGTCAAAGCAAATCCTATTTCTACTGCTTCTACTTCTACTTTATATTATCTAGTCAGTCAGAACAAGAATCAAGAATTTCTTCATCACAAACCAATTTATATTAAAGGGACACTATAGTCACCAGTACAACTAAAGCTTATTGAATTTGTTCTGGTGATTGGAATTATTACCTTCATGCTTTTTGCTGTAAACACTGTCTTTTCAGAGAAAATGCAGTGTTTACATTCCAACCTAGTGATAACTTCACTGGCAACTCCTCAGATGGATGTTAGAGATCTTTCCTGGGTCGTGGCTTCCTAAAATGCATCCAAACATTCAGTGTCTCCTCCCTCTGCATGCATACACTGAACTTTCCTCATAGAGATTAATTGATTCAATTCATCTCTATGAGGAGATAGCCAGGGCTGTGTTTGAATCATGCTGGCTCTGCCCCTGATCTGCCTCCTTGTCAGTCTCAGCCAATCCTATGGGGAAGCATTGTGATTGGATCAGGCCACCACTTCTGATGATGTCAGCAGACAGCTTGTTTTTCTGAGGCAAACAGCATGCAGATCTACAGCTTCAGGCTTGAATACAGTAAGATTTTGCTATATTTATAGAGGCATGAGGGACCCAGGGGGGCTAGATGGTGGTGTTAACACTATAGGGTCAAGAATACATGTTTGTGCTCCTGACCCTATAGTGATCATTTAACTTTAAACCCTTAAGGACACATGACATGTGTGACATGTCCTGATTCCCTTTTATTCCAGACGTTTGGTCCTTAAGGGGTTAAAGCACACATTAATGTTGAGTTTTTACACTTGCGGAGCTCAGAGATATGCTAGAAAAAAATGGACAAATATAAGATGAATCATGTTCGTATATATTTTGCAAACAATTTTCTGATATAAAGTCCATTCATCTACAATAGGAGGTTTGATTTTTCCCTAAAACATCATATAATAAACAGTTAAAAAAAAATCTGATCATGATAGTCTTTATTTCCTGAAAGAAAGAGATAACACGGTAATAGAAAAATTCTGTTTATTGACGTTACATAATTGTATGTACCTAGCATTTAACATGTCGGAAATATAATTTATGTCAGAAGAGATTCAATTAAAAAAAAACTATTGGATACATTTTCTAGTTGTAATGATAGCAAGTATTGTAAATTACATCTCTAAAATTTGAAACAAACTAATATATTCAGATTAGCCTGCTGCATTGCAAAAAACCAAAAAAAAAAACCAACAGAAAAACCCCAAGCTAAACCTGCACATCGGCGTTCCTACAATAAAACATTCTAACGCCGTACAATTTAGTAATGTCAGATTTTTTTTTAGAAAGAAACCTATTGAATGACATAGTAATTAAGAAAGAACATGTTTGATGGAATACTATGAGTAGTGTATATCTTGATGGAATACTGTAAATCACAATTGTTAATTAAATGGTCAGATTTCAAATTTCTTAAACTCACCCAATATCTGTAAAATTGTTTCTTTAGAGCTTGAACCATAATAAAACATATCATAAAATTGCTTCTCAGATGTCTATAGGAACAAAGAAGATGAAAAGATAAAATCTTCCTTCACTACCAAGAGAGGATTGGTTTTGTTTTCTACAGGAAAACAAAATTCAAGATAGCAAAATATTAATTACCTTCCTCAAAGCTCCTTGAATAACCCCTCTTGTATTAACAAATCTAACTCCTAAAGTACGGTCTGCATCTCTGAATGTCACAGACAGAGAAAGTAGTAACCATGGCCCAAGTCGTAACCATGGTTGTACCATTATAGCCTTGATATATATATAAATTAAAAATAAAGATTACAATTTTAAAAGAACACTATAGAGTCTGGAATACAAACATGTATTTCTAACACTATAGTGTTAAACTAGCTGTTAAGGTGACCCTCCCTGTCTCTTTGGAGTTAAAAAGGTGAATTTACTCACCTTTTCTCTCTCGCCACAACGGTTTTGCCACGGCTGGCCCCGCCTAATTGGCTGAGATCATCAACCTTGGTGATCACAACCAACCCAGTGCTTTCTTACAGGAAAGCACTGGGAGGCTATTGCGCATGCACGGCAAAATGTTACGCTGTGCCAATCAGCATCTCCTCACACAGGTACATTGAATGAATGCATCTCTATTGGAAACATGGAGACGTTCAACATAGGTGCTGCACCCCGTGCAGCACTGATATAGGAAGCACCTTTAGTGGCCATCTGAGTGACTGCCACTAGAGTTGTTACTAGGCAGCAATATAAACACTGCCTTTTCTCTTAAAAAGCAGAGTTTACATTGCTGAGCCTGCAGGGACTAGCTATAGACACCAGAACCACTAGATTAAGCTGTGTCCCTTTAAGCAGGGGGTATGTGTCATTTTGTATGTCACACTATAATAACTTATGTAGTTTTTATTTTCTTTCAGAGGAAGTGCAAAATGAGGATACCATATAATTACAAAGATTTTATATTTCCATTCCATTATATCAAATCTGAAAAAAATATCTTCCTGTAAAATAACTTGATTTGAATTGAATTGTTATCCGTAGACAGGAATCCAGAATTGTGGTTTCATCCTTATTTTAGGAGTTTGGGTTACATGAAGTGCTTTAAAAAAATAAGCACTTTGCTTGTTTTAGTACAGAGAATGCTATATTATGGCAATGGAGTTTTTTCTTAACGGTTGCAGATTTACTCTGGGTTTACAATTGTCTCCTGCTACATTCAATATGCATATGACTTTTCATGCAATAAATATCAAACGGTCTCTTCAGATATGTTGTTAGGTAAAAAAGATTGATGACAAAGTTTGAAGGAACACTCCAAGCACCATTCCCATTACAGCCCATTGGCACCCTCCCAGAGTTGATTGCCAAACCATTTTTGAATTGTATGGGTCCCCCAGGCACCCATGCCACATCCAGTTTCTACTGCCAGATGAATTGACTTAACTAAGCACGTCCACTCGATGTCTAAGAGCATCAAACATATAACTGTTCTAAAACAGTTTGAGAAATTATTTTGGGACAGCAGCAGAGCATGTCTGGCAACATAACCAGTACAGTGAGTACAGTGGACATGATGCTTGGATTGTTCTTTTAGGACTCGCGCTCCAAATATTTTACAGATATTGGCAAGGAGTATATGATACTATCATTTTATGTAGCTTCTGTCCCTTTATTGGTATGTCTATTATCTTTCTTTTAACACAAATGGATTTGAAAAGACGACTTTTCAGGAAGGGCTTATAAAAATAGCTCCTAATCAATCACGCGAAGCAACTAATCAAGGCATTGTTAGCCTTGCCCATGTAAAAAGAGTATTCACAAATGATTACTACCCATCATGAAGATAGCACATGGCACTCTCCAGCTACTATTAAATTTACCATGAGCTGCTGCGGGCAAATGTCTCTTATTGTGGAAGGTTTTCTAATGTATACCACGACAATGGTACAGCTTTAGAATGAAATGTCATAGTCTGTTGGGTGTGCTTTTCTTCACAAAGACATCCTGGACATGGATGGAGGGAGTTGTTGAATGTGCTTCTTCTGGCAATGCCATGTGATAATAGTTAGGTAGTCTGATATCAAATCTAAAACCACTGTCGAGGGAAACTTTTTCGTTCAATTCATAGAGTTTATCGGCAATGTCACCTCTTATCAACACTGAAAATAGTCTGCAGATGTAACGGTTTTTGGCAAATAATAAATACAGTTTTTTTCTCCTCCACGTAACGTATCGGCACTTTGTTTCTGCAGTAAGTGTTACCTGTAAAACAATATGGAACACACAGTTAGAAAATTACATTCTATTTTGGGTCCACTTTTCTAAAACATTAATTTATTTATTTTGCCTAACCGCACAACAGGTCTGTGATGCTGTTTTTTTCCTACAATAAAATTATTCCTTGCATTTTGTGGGGATATTTTTTCCATTGAAAATCTGACATACTGTGTAATTGTGGCACTATTTAACCTTATGGGCTTTTCTTCCTGTTAGCATTATCAGAATGGGAACGTTTTTTTCTGCTGTGTAATTCGATTGATGGGTAATGTTAGATAATGTTCAAGTTATACATAGAGTGTATAACTAAAAGGGTAAACACTAAAAGTTAACTAATATAATTTTCCTTATATTACCATCACAAAAGAGACACACAATGCTTAAAAAGTCCTTGCATTTTCAAAGTTGTGCACCCAGTATGTGGCACACAAAAAAAAAAATCACTGCTGCCCAAATGTTTTCAAACACAAAGATCATTTTTTTGCTTTTAAGAAATTAAAGCATCTTTTTTTGTATTTATATCTATAAACCATGTCAGAATTATCATCATTTTCATGCACTGTCCTGTTGTCATAGAGGAACTACAGTAATTGAGCAAATATATCTGTTTCAAATAAGACTACTAAAATCTCTTAGTGTGTGGAATGAAGATCCAGTGACAGTAGTTGTTGATGAGGATGTGTTCTAACAGGTCTGGATATACATCGCGAGTTCAGTAGGCACAGAATTATCAAGATACTCCAACCCTTCACCCATTCTTCCACACATTTACACACACACACACACACACAAGAAAAAAAATGATTAAAGCTAAACATTTTACTTTCACTGACAGCTCCATTGATCGGCACATAAGAGATGTGCACAGTGTCCATGTGTAACTCCCGAAAAGACAGAATGCTGTAAGTCATTTCGATAAGCTAAGCACGTGCTAACTTGCTAAGCAGAAAATGTGTTAATGTAGCAATGTAGTCAGTTGAATCATTTTCAAAATAATAACTTTAAAGAGGAATTACTGGACTTCTATCAGCATTTTGTAACAGACTTCAATTAAGCTGTGAATCAAGGAAATCTTGTTTTATATGATTCTCGCTGTAATGTAATTGATGCAAAAATCAAGAATTTCTTCTGAATGAGGTCTGATATCCTCTATCCTAGTTTTGTAAGGCAGTACAAAATATGTACTTATCTTTATTAAACGTGACTTTGTATTTGTGGTCAACAATCTCAAAGATTCTATATCATACAATTTAGAGAGTAATATTATAAGAAAATATTAGAATTAAACCTGAGCGTATCACCATAATCAAATCAATAGCATCTGCAATTAAGGAATTCAAATCAATATTTAAAAAATTAAATAAGAATCGGGGTGTTTAAAGAAAATAATTTCTCGATATTATTTTTATCTCAGATCTTTTACCAGTACTGTAAGGAGCAATGATGGGCCATTGTCTGTATATAAATAAGGATAACATGTACTGTAATTAGAACATCTCATTTTAACCTAGGAACAGGATCTTTGACCCCCCTCCTGCCCTAAAATGGAGTTGCAAATATATTAATATGTAATGTTATTGTTTTGTAAATAGCAGAATTGTAGAGTATATTATTATATTATTTATCAACTTGCAACTAACATCCGGTGGACAATCCTGGGGGCATATGTCTAGGATTGCTAATGAGATATCCATGGTTGACCAAGAAGATTAATAAAATAGGAAAAGAGTAAATGTTTCATTCTGAGATTAAAACACACTTTCGATATCCACAGCAGCATAATCAGATATTCACGGATAAGTTGGATCAGTCTCCGATCGCAGTAAGCATTAGAAGATGAGGTAATTGTTATGGTCAGAACCTTTCAAATATTGCCATTAAAAAACTTCTAAGTCAGAAGAGCATTAACTCTTAGAACCCCAAAACCATGCCTATTTATTAGTTCACATCAAAATTACTCAGGGCCAGACTGGGATTTAAAAGCAGCCCTGGAAAAAAAATATTTACCAGCCCCATAATGCGTCGCACCAGCATAGTGTGTAGATACAGAGTTAGAACAGATAACTTAAAATTAAAAAGTACTTCAACGTAAAAAGCGCACTCATAGGCTTCAAAATAAACAAAAGTGCAGATTTATTTTAAGCAGACGCGCCTTTGCATGTAATCAATGTTTCAGTCCAACTACCTTGACATATTAAGGAAAGTTTGTTAATGGGACTGAAATGGTGAATGTATGTAGGGCACAACTGTAAAAAATGTTTATTTTGAAGTCCTGTGGGTGTGCTCTTCACTTTAAATATGTTATTGTGCTGGAGTATGCACCTAGCAACAAGACTGGGACAATATCTGCTCATTACATATGGTACATATTAATGAAATTTCTCTGTGTATTATGCATATATAAATGTACATTAATATGTGTAAATATAATTAATATATATATATATATATATATATATATACACACACACACACACACACACACACACACATTAATATACATGTCATATACCAGTGACGGATCCAGAACCTGAGCCACTACCTCTGTGTAGTGGTTATGGTGCCAGGAGTGTCAGCACCCCCTCCCAGAGTAAGTAGTCAAACCATTTAAGAACAGTTTGACAACTTACCTGGAGTCTGCTGGGATATGGGGCTGTAGTAGGGTATAGGAGCAGTGGTGCAATGTGTGAGGGGTGCAATGTGTGTGGGTGTGGGGGGGCAGTGTGTGAATGTGTATGGTGTGTGTGTGTGGGGGGGGGCAGTGTGTATGGTGTGTGTGTGTGTGTGTGTGGGCAGTGTGTGTATGGGGCTAGAGTTCACTCCTACTACTGCGACCACCAGGAAGTGGTGAGAGTGAACTCTAGCCCGTAGCTCCAGGGCTAGAGTTCACTCTCGTGAGAGCCGGAGCGTTGCCCCGGGTCCTCTCTTTCTCCCCCTCACTGCTTCTCTGTGTCAATGTCTCCCCTCTCCTTCCCAGTCTCTCTCTTCCCCCTCTGCCTCTTTCTTCCCCTCCCCTTGTGTGTCTCTCTCATTTCTCCCTCTTTGTCTCTCTCTTCCCCCTCTGCCTCTTTCACCCCCTTTCCCTGTGTCTCTCCCTCCTCCCCATCTCACTGCCTCCCCCCTTTCCCTGTGTCTCTCCCTCCTCCCCATCTCTCTCCCTCCCCCCTTTCCCTGTCTCTCCCTCCAACCCATCTCTCCCCCCATCTCTCTCCCTCAGCCATCTCTCCCAACTTCCTGTGTCTCTCCCTCTCCCATCTCTCTTCCTCCCAACTTTCCTGTGTCCTCCTCCTTCCAGCCACATCTCTCCCCTTCCTGTGTCTCTCCCATCTCTCTCCCCCCTTCCCCTGTGTGTCTCTCCATCTCTCTCCCTCCCCTCTCCTTTCCTGTGTCTCTCCCTCCCATCCTCCTCCCCTTTCCTGTCTCCTGTCGCCATCTCTCTCCCTCCTTTTCGTAGTAATCACTCTCCCTCCTCCCCATCTCTTTCCCTCCCCCCTTTCCCCGTGTCTCTCCCCTCTCCCCATCTCTCTTCCTCCCCCCTTTCCCTGTGTCTATCCCCTATCCCCATCTCTCTACCTCCCCCTCTGGCGGCACTCCAGTCACTGATGGCTGAAGGAGGAGGAGCCTGTCTACCATGCTCCCTCGCGGTTCCCACAATTCTCAGCACAGGAACCGCGAGGGAGCACGGTACAGAGACAGGCTCCTCCTCCTTCAGCCATCAGTGACTGGAGTGCCGCCGGACTGGCCAAGCTGCCACCCGGCCTGGCGGCTCCAGTCTGGAACGCGGCCGGCCCCCTCTCAGTATGCCACCGGCCGGCCACCCGGTGGCACCCATGTGTCAGCGCATCCCCCAGGTGCCGCGGCCCACCAGGAAATTTCCCGGTATCCCGGTGGGCCAGTCCGGCCCTGAAATTACTAACATGCTGATGGCGAATACAGCAGTCAGCTCACTCACCATCATAAACAAAAGGCCTTTGGAGTAAAGCATCCCCTTAGTTCACTGGTTCCTAACCCATTAAAGGGATATTATAGTGTTACGAATATAAAATCTATAGTGCCCTCAGGTCCCCGCTCCAGAAGAGAAAGCGATAGAAAAACATTTATATACTTACCATGAGGATTTCCTCATGCAGAGATTGAGGACATCCAGAGTCGTTTAAGGGATTCAAAGTATTTTTAGAGTCCCGGAAAAGCCTCTAGTGTCTGTCTGATGGCTGCCTGTAGTGTCCCTTTAAATATGATACAAAGCTCTCAAAGAATGGCTAACAATTAGTTAAGTTTTTTTTCTCAAACCTGTCATAGATCTATTAGCGAACAGACATGAACTATAAATGGATTCATTTTCCACATTAGCAACAATGTATTACTTGCACACTATAAGAGTTATAAAAGACACTCAGAGTAAACACAACAGCGTATGGTTACTGACATATATTATCTTGTCATCTCTCTTGACTTTAGCAGAATATACAAGGAAATATTCAAATAAGCTAAATAGGATTTGCACATTTGTCCACAGAATATCAACAACTCTATAATGGATTTTATTGGGTTTATCAATAGAACATACTTGTTAGGTTACCTGAAAAGTCCCTTCTTCTGAAGGTCTAAGGGAGTCCCACTCAGGAGAATCCAAAAACTTACGAGGAAAAATATAATGAAGAAACTCTCCATCTACTGTCACTCGTATCCTGCCACATTTGTAAAAAAAAAAAAAAAACACAATAAAAAAATTAGTCCATTCAAATAATAGATCAGAAAGGCGTATACAATACTGAAGTTCAAATGTCATTGTCACTGCTGAGCTAGAATATATATTTAATTAAAATTTCAAATGTAATTAGATATTTTATGATTTTCATACTGTTTTTGGCAAATTGAGGCAAAAGAAGAACCCTCAATAATACCATTCTCCTATCAGCCAGCATGCAAGCAGATAAATGACAATAGGGAAATCCTTGCCAAAAATGAAATAGTCCCCTAAATGACGTTGCCTCTTAAAAGGGAATGTTACTTGCACCATAATTACGTTAACTATTTGACTTGTTTTAAACAGTTGTCCAGTTTGCCGTGACACACATGCTTAGCAATAAATAAAGAAAGCCATCATAAAATCTATGGAGACTTTTTTTCACCTGTAACTTTTCATATATATGGTAGCCAATTGAATGTCGGATTAATGTATGCATACATTAAGCATTAATTATTTTAATCAAAAAAGCCTATGTGAGAACAAATGTATTTGTTTAACATGAGAAATTTCAGTCTAATAATTTATTAAAACGTATGTTAAGTTGATAAAGTATTGTTCATCTCATCCCCCAAAGATGTGTCTGTGACTTTGTTTGTGACCATGTGTCTATGACTGTGGTTAAGATTGTAATGTGTGTGGCTATGTGCCTGTGCATTTGACTGTGTGAGTGCGACTGCGTTTGTTTAACTGTGTGCATGTATGTGACTATATTTGAGTGTTCCTGCATACATATCAAACCCTGGTGCCAAGTGACACGTGTGCCTCTGGTTGGGAGATGGACAATTTATATGCGGAAATCTCAAGTTCTGACTAGAAACTAACATCACAATCTCTTTAAAGTTTGAGTTTTTGTGTTTTTTTTATTTTTAACAATTGTCATTGTTGTAGCTGAATTTACTACAGATTTTTATTTTTAATATTCTGTTGAGAAAATTCTATATTTATATAAAAAAGGCTTTTCAGGAGACTAGTCGGCCTAAATTAACCGTGTATGACAAATTTTGAAAGTCACGAATAAGGATATGCCTTATTAAAGCAGATTACAAACAGTTGAGCCACTTAGTGAATTCAAACACATTGTGTGGACAGTCTTTGTGACATTGATTAATGTAAGCTGATTTATATGTAACAGAATAAAATAATGTAGCACCACAGGAGGGCTATTTCTGAGCAGAACGTGCATTTTTATAGCATATGTTGCTTTTTCTAGAAGTAGAATGTAAACAGCATCCCATAAGGTATTTCACTGTAGGTTTTACAGAACATTTTGAACGCATTAACTCTTTAAGGCCAAAATGTTACATGTTGCTGTCATCACAACCTGGTTGCTAAAGACCATATGCCAGTAGTTCTAAACCCTTGGGTAGAGAATCAAAAATAAGTGCCGATAAAATTTAAGTGCATCCCCAGTAATAATAGATGCATGGTATTTATCAGGTCCCTGGGCAATAAGGTGTTTACTGTAGCAGGTTTTTCATCCTTAGTACAACAGGGAACCGCCAGCTATGGAGAATAGTTTAATTAAGGTGCTATGCAAATTGTAATCCAATGTTAATTACAGTCAGACAGATGAACAGGAAAAGATGTTATGTAGGTAAGGGAGAGATAGTACTAGTTGAACGGAATTGTCAGGGTAAAATGAGTTGTACTAAATGAATAGCTATTTATCCCTATTTAGGAGGCACAGTGCCTTATGTTTTGCTCAAATCCCTCTCTCCCTCTTTTCTATCCTAATGTCTTTTTTCTATGAGACACACTTTGTTGGTGTGTCTGAGTGTACAACAAAGCTCCACAGCAATACAGTGCACACTAATGTGTCTCCAAAATGTAATAAATGTGTCTAAATGTCAGTGTGTACAAATAAGATACATTGGCCATCTTTTAAATTGCATTTTAGTTGCATACATTGTCATTGGTAAGTCACCTAAAATGTCTCAAAAACAGCCCTGGTCAAACCCCAACTCACACCCCTAAAATTAAAGTGTCCCTCTTTGTCCATGTTATAATGTTGGAAGGTTTGTAATAGGAACACTATACAGATTTTTCTAGCATTAAATAAAGGGACACCGGCATGACAGAGGGTATAAATATCAATAGGGAAACATCAAATTGAGCAAAAAATATATAGAGGAAGAGAAAACTGGAATGATCGATGCATTATTCTGCACCATCTTATAATTTATGTAGAAAACACAGAAAAAAATATCCATTTATAAACATATGACATATATTGTAAACTGAACAGAATTCCGATTTCACAGTAAATAACATAACTAATTATAATAGCATTTTCTGTACACTAACCCTGTCCAAACTAGTTAAATAAAAACAATAACTATAATAATAAAAAGGGGCGTAAACAGGAACATACATACTTAATATCTTACATTAATGCAAAAGTAGACACACACACACACACTCACCACACCCACACACACTCACCACACACACACACTCACCAACACACATACATATTTGCAGAGTAACATTAAACACTACATTATCTATCTAGCTCTTTCTATGGCTTCCCTTGGCTTGCCTGACATCTGGCTGCCGGGATATGATGTCACAAATTCTGGCAGGCTTTCACAGTATCTCCAAATTTCAATGGAGCAAATGGCATATGTTATATGTGTTATTATCAGGTTTTCAGGTGATCATAGATGTCAATGTTATCCCCAGATTACTGTCTGGGCATGTGACCCTACTTATGAAAGCTTATATGGGATTCTACTTGGAAGGACTTTTCATTTTCATTTTATTTTCAGACTTTCCATTTAAATGTGAATAATCCACTCTTCCTTATGTGTAGTAGTATGCAGTGGTGTATTTAGGATTCGGGCCCCCCCCCCCCCAATTTAAATTTTCCCCACCCCTTCCTGTCAAGGCCGCTGACTCACTGACCATCGCACACTCACTGACAAACGCATACACTCATTGTCAGACACACACTCATATACACTGACAAACAATGACACACACACTATTACTTGGACACTCACTGACAGACGCACACTCACTGACAGACACACACTCTTATATACAATGACAAACAATGACATACACACACACTTTTACTTGGACACACACTGACAGAAGCATGCACTCACTGACCGACACACATGTACATTCACTCACACTTACAGGCACACACACTTACAGACACATTCACTTACAGACACACACACATACATTCACTTACAGACATACACATACAGACATTACCATCAACACTCACATTTTTTTTTTTTTTTCAAATCCACCCTGGGAGAGCTGGAGTGGATTACTTACCTGTACAGTAGGGCTGCTGGCCGGGCAGGCAGGGGGCAGACAGGCTGAGTAAGCAGCGAGAGAGCTCTGATTTTCCTGCTCAGCTCCCTTGTGCGCCGCTTAGAGATGCCGGGAGCCGGAGTGTCGTCATATTCTGGATCCCGGCTTCATTGAGCGGCACAGAGGAAGCCAAGCAGGAAGAGCTCAGGTGAGTTTGCTCCCTTGCTGCCCGCTGCCAGCCTGGGGGGGGCTCAATAGTGGCCAGCCGGCCAGCTCTTGAGCCCCCCAGGACACAAAGCACAAACAAGGGATCTGCCTGGGCGTTTGAGGGCGGCTTTTTTTGCCGTCCCCTGCAAAGTGCCACCCAGGGAAGATGCCTTGTTTGCCTCGCGGAAGACACGTCCCTGGTAGTATGCTGTTCCTTATGAGAGCTTTGTGTAGTATGCTGTCGTGGATGGGACCCTTAAGGTATAATATATATATTTTGGCACTTGTGGCAAAACTGGGACTTAGGGAAACAAGAGAAGCAATGGCATAACTTCCAACAGAGCGGCTACACCAGGGCCAACAGGGGTTGGAGACCCATTGAGTATCCAATCCACTTAGGGCACACATGATAGGTAGGCTGTCTGATCAGGGGCCCAGTCGGGTGCTAGAGCCCTTTAGAAGCATGTCCGGCCTCCTTTAATGTTGGCTGTCTGTGCTGGGAGGGGGTTATTTCCTGTCACTTCCTCTTAACTTACAGACCGCGTGGGCTAGGAGGACAGAGGAACTCAAACTCCCATCACACTCAGCCAGCCCAGGAAGCCACCCTCCTACACCCAAAAAGTTTTGGAAGCAAAGCTGGTTGCTAAAAATAAGTAAATTGAGATGTGTTTTTGTTAGTGTGCATATGTGGCAGTGTGTGTGTGTGTCTGTGTGTCTGTGTGTGTGTGACACTGAAATATGGTGAATAAAACCTCTCTGGCACTGAGGATGATGAAACGGAGTTGTGATCGGTAGCTAAGGGGTTAAAGTCTTCTACGATAGTCTTAACTGATACACAGTGCTTCCTGTGTCAAATACAACTGGTTCTATGCAGTTCGGAGCTTTCGAGATGCTGTCACACTGGATTGTTGAATGATCGTAAGCTCTTCTCTTGGTTACTTTCATGCTTCTGCCTCAAAATGTTTTCAATATTACTGCCCCCTAGAACAAGTGTAAGCTAGGAGATACACTGAAATATAGTATTTATGGACATGCATGCTTTACAAAATAATAGACAGAGTTTAGAATGCGTGTAAAATATTACTTTAAATAATAAAAAATGACAGATTTCCTTTAAGAGGTTAAAATTCTAGAATCTACCATGAAATCTAGTTCAGGTACTTACTGAAAATTGCTCATTCTATTCTTGGCACTAATGAAATGCCTGTCAGAGCTATTCTGTTCTGCTTATCCAGTCCTGAACTTTGCTCTTTGTGGAAAGGGACATAAAATAGAAGGGCCTCTTGTTGTGACAAGGGACAAGTGTGTGAACAGTGATAAGGATTGGTGGCAAATCTATCTGAGCTGTCAAATCATATTCTGACATTATATTCAGACTTCGTATCTTAACTATGGTAACGTAGGGCCAGACATAAGAGGTATGAATGGATGAATGACCTATGAAAGTCACATTCTTCAAGAAAGGTTAAATTCTCAGTAACATTACTCTAGCCATACATGGCTCATCCAGGGAAGGCTTTTTAAAGTATCCCCTGCTTTACATTATTCCTGTTAAATACTATGTTTTAAAAGTATCAATTATCCTCCTAATGTGAAACATAATTTCTGTAATCCATAAATTATTAACCTCTGTTTGTCTTGAAAACATAATTTCACACCTGTGTATTAACCATAAACCATACCTTATATATCAGTGAGAATTGAGAAAAAAAACACAATTCAAATATGCGCTACAACATCTGCATTAATATATGGTTCCAAATGGGTAAAATCTGTAATTGGAACACAAAGATTTACAATGAATGTATATGCATTTAAAGAATATGTGTACCATTTTAGAACAATACTGTGTTTTTATGGCCATATACTTAGGCTTTTTTTTTTTATTATGTTATTGGGGTGTCAATGTATAGACTAATCCTTATGGTCGATTTTTCTATTCTATCCTAAAAAAAAAAAAAAAAAACAGAAATGTTATTTATGAATTTTGTTTAAAAAAACGCTCCAATAACTATACCGCTATAGCACTGGCTATAGTGCCAGATATACGCTGGTGTCCCGTTATTGTAAGGAGTCAAACTGTTTAACAACAGTTTGAGTTTTTACCTAAGGTCCGACAGACACCACTCCCCACCTCCACTACTTACTGTGCTTTTTTTCTGACGCTCTTAGCCAATGACGTAACCGTGGCTTAGCTCAGGAGCATGCGCTTATTCATAAGAAGTAGTGAAGGCGGGGCTAGGTGCCAGGTGGACCTCAGGTATTCTAAGATGGTTTGACTCCGGAGAATAAGGTGGCACCAGGGTACTCCTGGCACCACAACCACTACAGTTAACTGTAGTGGGTATGGTGCTTAGAGTGTTCCTCACAATTCACATATAGGTATGACAAAAAATTTGTAAAAAATCTGACACCTCCTCATAGAGTATAGGTCAAACAACACAGTTTTGTCCCATTTGTACAGACAATAAATAGTAAACTGTCCCTAACACTGGGAAAGTATGAGATAAGTTTATTATTTTTACTTGATAGAGTAATATTTAGGATTTTTAAAAAGAATAGACTATAGAATGAACTTCCAAAGATTAGCTAAAGGAACACTCTGGGCACTATAACAACTTCATCCCAATAATATGGCCATGGTAGCAGGAGGTCCTGGGTCATTCCTTAAAGGACCACTATAGTGCCAGGAAAACATACTCATTTTCCTGGCACTATAGTGCCCTGAGGGTGCCCCCACCCTCTGGGACTCCCTCCCGCCCGGCTCTGGAAAGGGGAAAGAGGTTAAAACTTACCATTTTCCAGTGCTGGGCGGAGAGCTCTCCTCCTCGGATCCTCCTCTTCTCCTCCCCGTCGGCTGAATGCACACGCGCGGCATTCCGCCGGTCACATAGGAAAGCATTCATAATGCTTTCCTATGGACGATGGCGTGCTCTCACTGTGAAAATCAATGAGACAGCCGCTAGATGAAATAGGGGAAGGCTTAACCCATTCATAAACATAGCAGTTTCTCTGAAATTGCTATGTTTATGAAAAAATGGGTTAACCCTAGCTGGACCTGGCACCCAGACCACTTCATTAAGCTGAAGTGGTCTGGGTGCCTAGAGTGGTCCTTTAATGCTGGGGGAGGCAATCTTTTGTACTCTCTATGTTGTGGACTACATCTCCCCTGATGCTTTGCAAACATTATGGCTGTGACAGCATTACAAGATCTACACCTGCCTTAAGGGGTTAAATCATCTATGAATGGTTTTAAACCCAACGTTGTGAAGACTGCACCTATCCGTTTTGCTCCATCTTCAAGGCTTTAGTAAGGAAGCATGGGATTAGCCACCGCTGACATACTTCGAGCTTCCCTTTCACTATACTTTGTGAAAAACATACATTCCAGGCCTTACCCATTGACCGTATACAAACATGGAACAAATATATGTTAGGAATAGTTCTTCTGTTATGTAGAAAGGCACATAAATTATGAATTAACAAAAGTGAATAACCTAAGATTTTTTTTTTGCTTGCTTCAACAGTAATGCATAAGGTATAGAGCAGGATGTCTAAAGGAGGCAGAGGATCTTTCACACTCATTGGTGTATTTTGGATTTGTGCCCCCCCAATTCGTGTCATGGCCACTTTTTTGACTGACAGACACATGCCCTCATAGATACATACACTGATATACACTCACTGACAGATACACAGTCATCGTTTTTTTGGCGCCCCCCCTGAAAGTGCCGCCCTAGGCAAATGACTTGTTTGCCTTGTGGTAAATACATCCCTGACCCCACTCCTTAACTAAAATAACTTGGTGGGGACATTTGTCCCCCTACAGAGATGCATGTAAGCCTTCCTGGTGTATTCCATATAAAAATGGGTCAGCAATAAAATAAAATAGCGGTGCAATCTCGGCATGTATATTATATGTTTAAACTACAGCTCCCACTAATGGGCTTCAATTGATAAACTATAATTCAATCATCTACTCAATGGAACAAGCTGTGCAGGAATTGGCTAATATAACCCATTAAAATGTATCTATCTTTAATATTAACACCCTGAACTCTTGAGGATTCGATGGATCTGATCTATCTTTTTTTGTAGCGAATTATCTATGTCTCCATTATTTCTTGCACCCAAATACACAAGATATCAGGCAAATGTCAAGAACACTGTGCTATAGTGTGTAACAAAAATAGCAGAATAAATTCCATACTAGATAGAGAAATTGCTTCAGTAAGTGTCTGTAAGAGAGATTCCCAGTCTGGAGTGGTCAGATGGAGGCTTTTAAGATTCCAATCTTTTATGAATTCTTTAGAGACATTACTTTTGATAAATAATGCATTATTGCAAGAGATTCAAACACATCTTTGATTAAACACCAGCTTGTAGTGCATTGAAAAACAAATTGCAATATTTAATATAAAATAATCAAGCTATCACTATTGCAGAATTTGAGATTTTTTTTCATATTAAATACTGTTGTCTAAATTTTACAGTTTGTTTTTTTACTTTTTATAATTCTGTATTTAGCGAATACACCGTCTTAAACATCATTAATCTATTAATAATTTGGCTAGGAGTTATCTTATCCAGTTTACTCATTTACAGGGTCAAGCACAAATAATACCAAAGGATTTAAGCAATGACCACTCTCCATTCCTTTCCTAAACTGATAATTGCTAAATTCAAGTGACACTATAGGCACCCAGACCACTTTATCTCATTAAAGTGGTCTGGGTCTCTGTCATTTTAGCCCTGGAGCTCAAGTTGCAAAGATTGTAGTTTCAGAGAAACTACAATTTTTACATTGCAGAGTTAAGCCTGCCTCTAGTCACTGTCTATCAAACACCCACGAGTGGTGCTTCCTGGCCTTTTTTATAGAGTTTGACTCAGTGAAACAACGCTCTACGTCCTCATGCTTTACATGAGGACGTCCTGCATCATCTAAATCCTCATAGGAATGCATTTATTCAATGCTTTTCCATGACGAAGGCGTAATGCACAAGCGCCACGCTTGCTGATGGTGGAGAAGGAACACAAAACGGGTAAGTGTTGTTAAAGGTTTTTTAACCCTTTATTTTCTTCTGCAGGTTAGGCACGACGGAAGGCAAGCAGAGAGACAGCCACTAGAGGCTCTTACAGTTCTTACAGTTAACATCTATTTGATTGGAGGCGCACAGAGGGGCTACATCCCCAATGCTTCTTAATAAGGAGTATAGAATTGGACAAAAGAGAAGAGTCTGTTTGACATAGTGGGAGGCAGGTCGAGAGGCTGCAAGGAATGGATCTAGGCCCTTTCTCCACTATTTTTTATTTAGATGGCAGTGCGATCTTAAACTAAATTCAGAGCATAAAACTATAGCATTAGGAATACAGGCGTGTATTTTTAACGCTATAGAGTTCCTTTACATTTGAAATAAATTTTGAATTAATTTTAAATTCCTAACATTGCTTGCTTTAGTAAATTATTACGCAGAACTCTGCACAATCTGAAAGTGTGAAATAGTCACAATGTTTCACAGTTTTCCAGATCTTGTACTTGATGACATGATTCCTGGTTTGGTTACTCTGTATAGTATATTGTTTGGCTTGATGTCTGCAGACTAGAGTTGAGCAAACCCGAACTGAAAAGTTCGGGTTCGTACCAAACATTAAGTTTTTTTGGACCCCCGGACCCGAACACGGACATATAACTATATGTTCGGGTTGGAGTTCGGAGTTCAGCGATTTAATGGTGCGTTTTGAAAGGCCGCAGGGCAGCCAATCAACAAGCGTTTGACTCATGTGCCCTTAGAAGCCATCACAGCCATGCCCACTAATGGCATGGCTGTGATTGGCCAGTTCAGCATGTGACCTAGCCTGTGGCTGCTCATTGTTAAAAAAGCGGTGGGTGGGGCCCATAAATAAAAATTGGGGGGACCTAATGTCCTCCCCCCTGGCCCCCACCCCTGAGCGGTGGGTGGGGGCCATAAATAAAAATTGGGGGGGACTTAATGTATATATATATATATATACACACACACTCTTATTTTCATTTTTTATTCAAGACCAGAATAGCCAAACTGAAAGCATTGCTGACTTAGAGAATTTTTCCAGTTTGGCTATTTTGACCTTAAATTATAAAATTCGCTTTGAATTCACCTTGAATTCTCACTTTAAAGAATAACCATAATAATCATACCCCCTCTGCATAGCAGCATTTACCATCCAAACTCCCCATTGCCACACAGCAATATTCTCTTTGCCCCTCAGGAACAGTTCATAAACACATCTCAATAGCCAATCTCCCATAGCAGCCTTTACTGACATATTATCTTGGTCCCATAGATACATGTTACCATATCATTTTATCGCATTATTCTAAAAAAAAAGACTGATGTCTTTTCTAAAAGGTTTCCGCAGTTTTCTCCATTGGTGTATAATTATATTGCAACAAAATTGTATATTTGTAGCTGGAGAGATACCTACCATCGCGGACATATGTGCCATGTTTTGTCTGTTTTCCTTTAGATTTTGACCATTTTATTAATCACATTACAAAAAAACTGATCATATAACAGGATACAGTAAGCAAAACAACATTTGGACTATTTATTGACTTCTACTTCCTAGCCTAGGCCCAAATCGTATACTAATATATGTCTATAACCTGCAAATTATTTTGGTAGTTGACTTATCCAACAAATATCGGTCTAAACCTGTGAATCAATATAGTGAAAACGTGGTGCTATACTAACACTATAAACACATGATAGAAGTTGCACAAACACTCCAAGGTTGTTCCCTCACAGATACAACCGATAAATACAATAGAAGACAAGAAAGTGGAGGGTGCGCTAAACAGTATAAAAACAATATGTATACTTATCAATGCGGTAATAAACTGGTATCTCCCTACGTATAGGTCTAAATCTACATAATACCTCTAAGCTTTAGGGATCGACTTACATGTCAGCTTATATGGTACATGTAGTCACAGTCGGTACCCTTTTACCAACATTAAACCAGGTAACTCAAAATTGCTTCAGATTCCACAGTCCTGCTCTAAAGACATGGGTTTTACATAAGTTTCATGTTCCTGCCTACTTTTACATGCAGAATTGCTATTAGCCAGCCTGAAACTATTATTCTGGGCTGGCTAATGACACTTCTGGAGATGGAGTTACACCACAAGCACGTAGCCCAAATATCTTTGCATGTGCAGCATTTCATTCGGAAACGTTGCACATGCAGATTCATTGTACCATAACCACATGAAAACACTGACCCCATAACCCCAAGTCAGAATATATTGCAATTGTACACTCTAATACCTTTAATGTAAATGTGATTAGTCTCCAACTCGGACTAGAAAGTCAAGTAATAATACAGTATGTTCATACCATGTGGTAATATGTATTTTAGTAAATCATTTCGGAATTGTTTTTAGTCGCACTGAATTTAGAAGAGCAAAGAGCTTTCTTTCGTGCAGATGAAACATAGCCCACATGAGAAAAAGCATGCTGAAACAAGTGTTCTCCTAAGTAGTGAAAAAACAGAGCGTGCCAACTCCAAACCATATGTATTTCGTACCTACCAGCTTTTCAATGCTCAGGAGAACACTTCTTTCAGCAAGTTTATTCTCCAACCCAGCTATGTTCCCTGTTTGTGATTGTTATGTGCTACTTCCTCGTCTGACCTCTCCTTAGAAATACACCTAAGCAGCCTGTTTATTTAGCTTCCTATACTTTGTCTGTTCAGAATGTTTGGTATTTTTTTCTTACATTCTACATATGCTAACAGGAGCACGCTTTGCACTGACATTCATTGTACCAGTGCAACCTTCATAAGGTCACACAGTCATGAGCAAATTTGCAGGCTGGTAAGCACGCCTGCAATTGTGCCTGTGCTTTGCCGTTACTTTGTCCTCGTGACAGTTTTTATTTTTAATCTGAAACATTGACCTCATAAAAAATAAATTTAAAAAATCTACTTTCAGTTATAACCTACAGAAGAGCGTCCCTAGAGTGCTGTTCCTGTGTGGATAGTATCACTTGTTCCGAACATTGCACTGGACTAGAGGAAGTTACAAGGTCTTCGAGTGAATGACTGCTGTTATATTTTTTGAAGGGCAGATCATATTTTCAACTGGGTGCTGCACATCTGTACAATACTTACCCTAACGAACAGGGAATAATGCAGGGACAACTCTGTGCTGAACTGTTACATGCATGTTTTGGTTTGCTCAAGATTATTGCGATTTATACTCGCAAGCTTCACCTGCTGCCATTTTAATAGGAGCAGGTGAAACAGGCAAGGCCCAGGATTGTAACTCCCACTAATCTCAGGCAAAATGCAACATATGTGTAACAGTGCTGCTCTTACTTTAACTCCTCTCTTTAACTACCCGCTACCATTACATACTACACTAAGAGATAATACTACTAAACAGTAAGCCTTACACTACTCTAAAACTAATTATTAACCACTACACTACCTTAACACACTAACCTAAAATTATAAAGTAATACAAAAGATACATAATGGTGAAGCATATATTGGTGAAAATAATGCCATCTCTGTCCTTGCAGAGGTAAGAGCTGTACTGGGCTGTACGGTATACAAGTATTGCTTTGAACATCATTCTCGATTTATCATGCATTGTTTATTTTCAGCTGCTTAAGGCATTGAAACAAACCTGCATCATATTTAGTCCTTAGGGGTCATTATTGCCACAGACAGCAGATATGGAGTTCCAAACCATTAGTCAGTTTCCTGCAGTACCGTTATATAAAGTATAAACCATCCTCTTGTGTAGTGGTTTAGTCTATATTTTTCCACCAGTAGGGCCTGTGTTTAGAAGCCTGTTTCGTCCAAGTGATTCTTTAGCCTGCCTAAGTCACCAACACTCACTCACTGCAACCTGTACTGAAATATGTATTTTAATAAAAAAATAAAAAAATTATATATATATATATATATATATATATATATATATTTATTTAAAAAAAAAAAAAAGCTTAACTCAATGTTCTGGATTAATTTAATTGCATAACTAAACGAATGAGATATGAGAATATCATTTCCTGGCTGTTTTTTGGTTTTTTTAAAAGGAAGCCTTTCAACTTTTTACTAAATACCACTTTACATTGCCTGGCAGTGTATTCACATTGCGATGAGTTCGGGTACACGCTGTTATCCTCCCAGGCAAATTAGAGTGATCTACAGTGATTTAAGAATTCGCCCCGACCATTGATCTGTTAAAGGGATGTACTATAAGTACTACAGCCTGTAGTGCCATTTCATGATATGAAGTCAAACCATTTTCTAATCATCTCACATGTACCTGGTTCCCACTACACCTCCAGTCCAGGCACAATGTCTGAGATTGCTAACACAGAAGTTCCTACTATCGCATTTGTGAGGTCAGTTCCTCCCCTGTTTTGAATAGATTTCATTGGCTGAATTACATCTGAACAGGACCAAAATAGATGCATCTATTGTTGGAAGGGGAACTTCAGTTTTAGATATCTCAGACACATGAGTAGTAGGTAGCATGAATCAACTGGCTTATGCTCAACCCTTATAAGATTTTTTGGTTCAAGTAAATATACTTTTTCAAGTCCAATGCACAGAATATTTGGGTCACTCTTGAATATTCACATATATTTTACTTAAAATTTCTATTCTGTTCTATTTCTATAAAAACCTTGAGGCTTGGAGTAAAGGGATGTTAAAGTTATATAGTTACATGATTAGTTCTGAAGTACTATGAGAATGCTCTACTGAATCTTAAGGTGGCATAAACATCTTCAAGTAGACTTACTTAGACTGAAAAGAAAGCTTGGCGATATTGGATATATTTTTAAAGGAGTCAGACTGGCTAGAACATACCCGGATCATTCACCATGTTACTTTGTACTTTGTAGTTCAAGGGGAATAAATAACTTTGATGCATTTCTTGGTTTTTGGAATATAAGGAAATAATTCAAAGGATGTTCAGAAATGAGTTGGACTGTTTCTTGGTATACATGATGAGTTTACTAATTTACTGTTTATGAAATCCACAAAGCTGTACGTGGCTTTTATGTACCTGCAATGAAAGTGAAAATTCTATAGTTCTCCCATAGGAATGCCTTGTGATGGTTAGAAGTCTCCCCTCTAGAAACTAGCCCCTCTTGGGACTAGAATCTAGGAAACAGTGAGTCACCAGTAAGACGGTATAAACATGTGATACAAAAATCCATGAATTAAAGGGGGATTCTACAATAATAGGTCATTGTAGTGGTTATGGTACAAAGAGCCTGTGGTTCTGTCACCTCAGTTTGAGTAAAACCATTTCAAGCAGTCTGACATAAAGGAAATTCAAGAAAGGTAAAAAAAAAAAAAATATATGTACCAAGGAAAAAAAATTAAACTCTTACCAGATGCCCAATAGGATGGGGTGAGAGTGTTTATTTTTTTTCTTGGTGTAAACATACAGCAGGTTAAAGAGACACTACAGTAACCATAACTATTACAGCTTGCTGTAGGTGTTCTGGTGTCTATAGCATGTCCTTGCAGGCTGAGTACTGTGAAAAGGCAGTGCTATTGCTGCCTAGGAACCTATAGGAGATCAAGACCCGTAGTAACAACAGCACCGCTTGGAAGAAAAGGTGGGGTCGGGCCCTAAACACTTAGTTTAACACTTTAGTGTTAGGAATACGTTTGTATTCTTCACTCTATAGTGTTGCTTTAAGTGAGAATTGTTAGTTATTTAACCCTTTAAGGACCAAACTTCTGGAATAAAAGGGAATCATGATATTAAGATTAAGGGGTTAAAGTGAAATTTAAGGCAAAATAGCCAAACTGGAAAAATTCAGTTATGTCAATTATGCTTCCATTTCCAAACTTTGGTCTTAAATTTGAAATCCACTCTGAATTCCTGACAATTCACATTTTAGCGACTAATCCTATAGTAGTTTTATTTTCATGGTACTGAATGCACCACCCTGAAGCCCACAGACTTTTATGACTTTCTCTATGGATTTCAATAAAATTATAAAGTTTTGCAATATGCACTGGAGCTATTGTCATCTTTTTGTTTTCACCAAAAGTGATAACTCTTACTGTAACCAATGTTGTACATACTGAAACCAATGAATTTATATATATATATATATATATATATATATATATATTATTTTTTTTTTTAAAAATAAATGTAAATGTTATATCAACATAACCTTTTTAGCTGCTACAAATTGGCAAAAAGTCACTTTATATCTCCAAGAATTCTAAGAGATCGAGTTAGCATTGCGCCTTAGAATTACCATATACCAAAACAAGGTGGGGACAAGTAATCAATAAAATATTATTTCTTGGACTGGGTGTTCCATAAATTGAGGAACATAAAATGTTGCCTTTTACGTGAGTGAAGAAGATTCAATTAAAATCAGAAATGTTACAAACCTTCCTGAAATAAGTAATGAGAGTTTGTCGATTGGAGTTTTCCCTTGGACTGCGTAACAATGTTCCCTTTCCAATGTGACCACCTCTGCATTACAATACGAGATGATTTTTCGAAATACAGATAACGAGATCCCAAGAGGTTGGAAGACGGTACTGTATACATCTTGTAATTCTTTGTCAAACGAGACACTCCTTAGTTGATAGGCCAGGTAAATAATCTGAATGATGCAAATCACCAGAAGGATAAAGCTCCAGGAAAACACATCTGCAGCACAGACATCCAGCCATGCCCATATGCACGTACAGAAAAAGCTTAGTGCAAAGAAAATATATCCATACAGAAGTCCAAAGACCCCACTGCCTGCCATAGAACCCAGTACAAAAAGAATGCTGGATAAATGGTAGAAGGATCCTTCAGTCATTTGATTCCACTCAACACATACTGGGTGTCCAACTACTAGGCTCTCCCAAAAACTCACATTTTCCCCCATGACTGCTTGGTCTATTGGTTGTCATCTACATCAGGACAGCATTTTTATTTTGCTTTTGATATCAAACTTGTATGGTGCGTTTAGAACTTTTTGGTGCTTTTTAATATTGTGATACTTAATACTATAGTCAATGGCAATAAATAGGTCCGGACAGCTCTGCATGGTGTCTCTGATCTACTGTCTTAATTGGATCCAAAAATGAAACCCAAACAGTAAACATCGCCTTCTGTACTTGAGCAAAGTTGTGCACGGTTGAGGTCAGCGCAGTTCAGGCAAAAACTCTGTTGCGTTAATAATGATAAACATCCATCCATGATTTGTGAACTGGAGAGGGTACACTAAAAACAGAAGAAACATGGTCAACAGATACAGTTATAATTACAGGCATATTAGTATGTGTAGACATTATTTTTGATAATAAAGAGACATATAGCTGATGCCAGTTAAAATTGTAGGTTATTTAGCAATGTGGGATTTCGTCAAAGTTTGTCCCCAGTCTTTGAGAATGCTTGAAGTGTAGGCCTCTAAATTAGACAAAGTAGTAATATTCTCAGGGTAAGGGCTAAAGACTAAATGGTGACATTTTTAATTGTATCATGATACAACCAAGAGAACGTGATATTAGCAGCAGGAGTTCTCAGCTTTCTAATGTTCAAGAAAAAGAAAATGGCATTTCAAACTCTGCGACAATGCTCAACGTCCCATGTTAGTTGAAAACATTAACTTTCGTTAAAAAAAAATTAATATATTTTTTTTAAAAGCCTAGGAAAATTTTAAATTGACCACCACAAAATATAGGCTGGTTTTAAATGATTACTATGATGATTATGGTACATATATGAATGCTCATGACCAAGACATTTTTAAAAAAATTATTCCACATTTATGAGAAGACATACTGCGTCCTTGTGAATAAAGATAAAAAGAAATATAGGATATGGGAAATGTATGCAAAATTAGACAGTATGAGGAGTACAACTGCAGTTAATTGGAGACATCATTCAGGACAGACCTGAATCAATCAGACAAAACAGTCATTGCCACCTGATATGGATCACTTACTATCCTACACAGGGAAACCATCAGGTGGTGTAGGCAGTTTCCGGTTACAGTCCAGCTAAGGACCGAGCTTGTGAGCTGGTGCGTGGCAGTGCAGTGTGAGCAACTAAGACAGACAATAAAACAAAATGACATAACCCTGCCCTCCATGTGTCTGAGCCCTCAGTTATTACGTCCTACACCTCTATGGTAATTCTAGGAGGAAGTAATGACTATTGAACCCTGTATCGCTCAGTGGTCTGGTTGGGGACCGCATTGGCCAGAACTAATAGAGTGGGACCTTTAACAGATGGGAGCCTGCACAGCTCTCTGACGGCAGTGCTGGACATAACTATCACTTCCTCACATAATTAGTATGATGGTGCACTGTTATAACTGAGGGTACAGACGTGAGGCTTGTGTGTATGCCTGTGTGTCAGTTTGACAATGTGTGTGTGTGTTTGTGCATCTGTGATGGTGTGTGTGATACTAGTTTGTGTGTGTTTCACTGTCTGTAAATAAATTTAAAGTTAAGGCATCATAAATCTCCATTAGAACTTCATCTAAATGAAGTTGTTATGGTGCCAGGAGGCCCCCCAGGTGCATTATTTTGTTTAGGGGTTAAACAGTTATGGAATAGCTTAACTCCGAAGATGCCTCCAGCGCCGATCTCAATTCCACCCCATTGGCATCATGCATTTTAGTAGGGAGTGATTACCCATTCACAAAACTGGCTTGGAAAGGGTACATTTCTTCCCAAGCCAGTTTTGTGAATCGGGAGTCACTGATTGGCTAAAAGCGTCAGCTGAACGCTTCAGCCAATCAGCAGCGCCTCTGCTCGGGTAATAATGTGCACAGGGCCCGTCTGGCATCATAAAAGTTTTTTTAGTGCCTGAATGTTCTTTTAAGAAGAACAGGCACTCCAGGAGTATAGTTGGATGCAGATCCTGAAATCTAATTAATAGGATAGATGACAGAATTGCAACATTCCATTTAGCCAATCCAATCCCTTTTATCCTATTAATTGTTTCTGTGTGGCTGTGCTTTACTGTGTGTACGTGTCTGACGGTGTGTGTGCATGATATTGTGCAGCTGGGAATTTTAGTGTCTGTCTAACATTGTATATTTGTGAATGTGACCATGTGTATGCCTGATTTAGTGAACACTGTGTGTCAGGCAGGGTGTATTTGTGTGTATTCTGTTAGAGTGTGTATGTATGACAGTTTACAGTTTCTGTGTGTGTGACTGTGTCTGACAAGGAGTGTTTACCTAGCTGGGGGGCCTGGACATTTTTTTTCCTGATGTCAACCCTGATCCTACATGCCAGACAGACACAGTTGTATCCATGAGCAACATAAATTAAACAATAAAATTAGTCCCGAGCCCTAGTCTATTGTGTTCCGTGTTAAATTAAAAAATGTGCATATTTTTGGCAACGCCTTCCATAAATTGTTGGCAAGCCGGTTAGCAACCCAATACCCGTGTGTGTCCGATTAAGCGTATATGCAGGTGATACTCGAAAAATTAGAATATCGTGCACAAGTTCATTTTTTTCAGTAATGCAACGTAAAAGGGGAAACTAATATATGAGATAGACGCATTACATGCAAAGCAAGATAGTTCAAGCCGTGATTTGTCATAAGTGCGATGATTATGGCTTACAGCTCATGAAAACCCCAAATCCACAATCTAAGTAAATTAGAATATTACATGCAGTCAATATCGGACCTCTGAAAAGTATAAGCATGCATATGGACTCAGTACTTTGTTTGGGCCCCATTTCCAGCAATTACTGCCTCAATGCGGCGTGGCATGGAAGCTATCAGCCTGTGGCACTGCTGAGGTGTTATGGAAGACCAGGATGCTTCAATAGCGGCTTTCAGCTCTTCTGCATTGTTCGGTCTCATGTGTCTCATCTTTCTCTTGGCAATGCCCCATAAATTCTCTATGGGGTTCAGGTCTGGCGAGTTTGCTGGCCAATCAAGCACAGTAATCCCACGGTCATTGAACCAGGCGTTGGTGCTTTTGGCAGTGTGGGCAGGTGCCAAGTCCTGCTGGAAAATGAAGTCAGCATCCCCATAAAGCTCGTCTGCGGAAGGAAGCATGAAGTGCTCAAAAATCTCCTGGTAGACGGCTGCGTTGACCCTGGACTTAATGAAGCACAGTGGACCAACACCAGCAGATGACATGGCTCACCAAATCAACACAGACTGTAGAAACTTCACACTAGACTTCAAGCATCTTGCAGTGTGTGCCTCTCCATTCTTCCTCCAGACTCTGGGTCCTTGGTTTCCAAATGAGATGCAAAAGTTGCTCTCATCAGAAAAGTGGACATTGGACGACTAAGCAACAGACCAGGTCTGTTTTTCTTTAGCCCAGGTAAGACGCTTCTGACGTTGTTTGTTGTTCAGGAGCGGCTTGACAAGAGGAATACAACATCTGAAGCCCATGTCCAGGATCCGTCTGTGTGTGGTGGCTCTTGATGCACTGACTCCAGCCTCAGTCCACTCCTTGTGAAAGTCCCCAACACTTTTGAATGGCCTTTTCCTGACAATCCTCTCCAGGCTGCAGTCATCCCTGCTGCTTGTGCACCTTTTTCTTCCACATTTTTCCGTTCCACATAACTTTCTATTAATGTGCTTTGATACAGCACTTTGGGAACATCCAACTTCCTTCACAATTACCTTTTGGGGCTTTCCCTCCTTATGGAGGGTGTCAATGATGGTTTTCTGCACAACTGTCAGGTCAGCAGTCTTCCCCATGATTGTGATTCCTACTGAACCAGACTGAGAGACCATTTAAAAGACCACTATAGTGCCAGGAAAACATACTCGTTTTCCTGGCACTATAGTGCCCTGAGAGTGCCCCCACCCTCAGGGTCCCACTCCCGCTGGGCTGGATGGCGAGGAAAGGGTTAAAACTTACCTTTTTTCCAGCGCCGGGCGGGGAGCTCTCCTCCTCCTCTCCTCCCAGGAGCTCCGCGCGCATTCAGTCTTATAGGAAAGCGTTCATACTGCTTTCCTATGGACGCTGGCGTCTTCTCACGGTGATTTTCACAGTGAGAAGCACGCAAACGCCTCTAGCGGCTGTCAATGAGACAGCCACTAGAGGCTTAAGAGGCTGGATTAACTCATTTATAAACATAGCAGTTTCTCTGAAACTGCTATGTTTATTAAAAAAAAGGGTTAATCCTAGAGGGACCTGGCACCCAGACCACTTCATTAAGCTGAAGTGGTCTGGGTGCCTAGAGTGGTCCTTTAAAGGCTCAGAAACCCTTTGTAGGTGTTATGGCTAACTTAGCTGATTAGAGTGGGACACTGTGAACCTAGAATAGTGCACCTTTTCACTATATTCTAATTTACTGAGATTGTGGATTTGGGGTTTTCATGAGCTGTAAGCCATAATCATCGCACTTATGACAAATCACAGCTTGGAACTATCTTGCTTTGCATGTAATGCGTCTATCTCATATTAGTTTCCCCTTTTACGTTACATTACTGAAATAAATGAACTTTTTCACGATATTCAAAGTTTTCGAGTATCTCCTGTGTATATATATATACACACATATATATATAAATCAGGGTTTGACAAATTTGCTTGGAATCTAAGAGCCAGCAAAAAAAGTTAGGAGCCAGGTTTTTGAATGTCAAAAATACAATTATTAAAGGGACACTATAGTCACCCGAACCACTACAGTTGTTCTCATGTCTATAACCTGTTCCTGCACACTTTTCAATGTAAACACTGCCTTTTCAGAAAAAAAAGGCATTATTTACATTGTTGCCTAGTAACACTTCTACTGACAGTCACTCAGACGGTTTCTAGAGTGCATCCTGGGTCAGTGCTGCAGTGTGAAGCATCTAGATTTAGGTGCTAAACGTTCCCCATAGAGATGCATTGATTCAATGCATCTCTATGAGGAGATGCTGATTGATGCAGCGTGGCATTTTGCCACACAT